TACCTAAAAAAAAAGTAACCCTAAGGCACATCTGAAGAAAATTAAAATCCTAGCGGATACATTGACATACTTCCTTAAGGGATAAACAAAAGTTTGAGGTTATTGGTATCACCCTTTTGAGATTTCCCATTATCTCATTAAGGATGGGTCATCCTCTCTAAGGACTAGGTCTACGACAACTAGGGCTAAAACCTAAGACGGAAACTACAAACAAGACTGAGATTACTCTTGACCACGGTTAATGTCATCACCTACACTCTCTTGCTACCATTGAATCAATATTACCTAAGCGACTATACTTACAATCTTATTGGTTAATCATAATTTTGACTCACAATGTGCCTGTCTCGTGATTTAGCTCTACAAAACTTCTTTTGAGAATCGGCCTCGTCCGCAGCCCATTCGGGCTTCTTCCAGTGTCACCCATCATTCATTTTATTACAGGACACATCCTGACTTCAAAATGTGGGGGAAAAAAACTAAAAAAAAAAAAAAATGCTATCTTCGATTTCATTCCATTTGCAGTACGGGAGCGAAACCCAGGGCTGCTCTACCACGGTTCTGTTCAGAAAGGTCTGGGCAGCAGCGAGGCATGCGAGCCAGCTCAGGGACCTCCTGGCCCGCCGTCAGCTTCAGTTCTGTGGCTCCCTCTGCCGCGCTCTTTCATTTTCTCTCACGTCGCAGCCGTTTTCTAGATCCTCCACAGGGTGGCGCCTGGTGCCCGGGTGGCCACAGTGGCAGCTGACGCCCAGGAGAGCCGTCCTGCGCCGCGGTTCTTTTTCTTCTTTCCCTGGCCCTCTAGCTCCACCCACCTTTCCTGAAAACTCTTATCGGGGTTCAGTTGCTCTCTGGGGGGTTCCAGAGGTGGAGAAACAGGCGCTAGGCTTTTAAAGTCCGCAGGCTGCAGCCCATCCCAAGTCAGATTCCTTCACAGTGAGCCCTTTCCAGGTCCCACTTGCATACCTCAGTGACTAAACAACTCATTGCTTGGTTACTTTTCTCTCGTTGCTGAGACAAAATACCCAACATCCACAAGTTAAAGGAGGAAAGGTTTATTTAGCTCACAGTTTGTAGAAGTTGCAGTCTCTAAGTGGCTGACTCCAACAAGGCAGGGTGGCTTTGCAGAGAACACTTCATGGAGGGTACAAGACAGCAAAAGCAACAAGGGAGAGAGAAGACAAGCCCTTTATATTGTATCCAGGAGACTGGGATTAGAGCAGTGCCAAGGGAATCCTTGGACTGATTTAGTAATCACACACCCTTAACTCTAACACCTTTAATCCCACCACTGCACTGCAATCAACCGTTCAGTAATCCAGATGCCTCTGAAAAAGCCCCGCCTATAACTAACTGCATGAGGCTTCAGGGATGTCTAGACCCAAGCCCATAACAGATTCATACTTACGATGGCCTGTGTTTGACTCTATTGGAATCCCATGCAACTGATAAAGGTCAGCAGTACCCCAGGTTCAGAAACGGGCTCTCCCTGCAGCTTAAGACAATATTTGTCATTTCACACAGTTTTGGGTTAGGAATTGGAAGAGGCTTTAGTGAGGGGTTCTGGCCCAGGGCCTCTAATGAATCTGGACAGTTAGACTGCGGTTAGAGCTTCGATCACCTGTAGATTACCCTGCACTGAGGATCCACCTCCAAGATGGCACCTTGATGTGGCAGCTGGCAGGAGGCCTCAGTTTCTCACTGGTGGGTTCTGCTTGGCAGACGGCTTCCCCCACAATGACAATGACAGGCACAGGGAAGGAAGCCACCGTGCTTTTTATGAGCCGCTCCCTGAACTTGCACAGGGTCCTTTCCACGCTTTTCTAATCACGAGCCACATCAAGGGAAGGGTGATTAGGCTTCTACTGAGGGGAGCGTCAAAGCCTTGCGGGTCAGTTTTCAACCTCCATCGCTGGAGCTGCTGAATCAGGCCCACATCTGAGGCCCCGTGCTAGACACAAGAACTAGTTAACGCCACTTATTGTTTAACCAGTTTGGGCTGGGCTTCCTGACCCCTGCTCTTCAAAGGGCTCTGGCTAAGTGCCCCATGGGAGTATATTCATCCTCCTCATCTAACCCTCCAGACCTGCTGTGTCCTGCCCTTTTTTTTTTTTTTAAAAAAAGGGTCCCAGGTAGGCCTAGAACTCACAGTTCTGCTACCTCGGACTCTCAAGGACTGGGATTATAGGTGTGTGCCACGTGTGGCTCATCTTGTCCTTTTTTTTTTTAAGAAAAAGAAAATAAATTTTATTTATTTAAATTTTTAAAAATATTTTTTTCAGGGGGCAACAATGGTGCATACATTGCGCCCCAAATACCTTGTCCTTTTAAGTGAGAGTGGAGCCCAGGTTCTATGAGAAGAAAGATGGGTCCTTCTCAACCTTTGGCCCCTTACCCCACAAAAAGGCACAGCCCCTGTCCGTGGCCAGGGGAGAAACTGGCTATAGGAAACCATATCACTATGCTGACTCAAGATAATCAGATTCTATCAGCTAAGATGGGACTTTTCCCCCTGTCTTGCCTGCAAAGGAAACAGAGAGATGAATGACCTACTCCGGTTAGAACCAGCAAGCAGCCAAAGTTGGTTCCTGAACTGCCTTTGGACTCCTCGGTCTTTCCCGCCCCGCTCCTTGCCTGGAATCCTTCACAAGAGTGTTGTGTGATGGGAAACAGCCAGGGTTGCAGACATGCATGCTGGGCTGGAGTCCCAGCTCCATTTCTTCCCTTGCTTTTCCGCTAGGCTTCAGTTTCCTTATCTGTAAAGGAAGATAATTATAGTAACCACCCACCAGGGCTGACAGGAGACAGAGAGATGATCACATGGAAAGAACTTAGCACATAGTGACCAGAAAACACGCAGCAAATAACAACTGTGGCTGAGTCACAGGTGCTGAGGAAATTCCTATAAAATAGAGATAACAATACCTACCTGAATCGCGAGGCATGGAGAGACATTTTTATTTTTGTTTATTTATTTTTTGGGGAAAGACATTTTTGTGAGCATCCATTGTGTACTGCAGAGAGCTATCTAAACATGAAAAGTGGTTGTTTTCCTCAATCTTGGGGCAGGGGCAGGGACAGGAAGTGGGCAGGCTGACCAGAGTGGCCAAGTGTCTCAGAATCATTGTTCCGCCCTTGGCCTACGTGAAGTCCTCGGGATAGGAGAGGCAGGCAGGGTGGAGGACAGATAAAGCTCTGGGTCCTTATCTGGACCTTTCCCTCCATGCTAGGGCCCTCCAGGGAGAGAGAAACTTCTGGACTGTCCTTGCTGAGTTCCAAGCATTCCAGAGGGCTCAGTGGGGAGGAAGCCTGTCACTGCCCGACCCAGCACCAGCATCAGCCTCTGCCCTGGTCTCTCTGTCCAGGGCCTGACCTGCCAAGAATTCCAGTTCCCAGCAGTGACGCCCAGCAGCCCAACCCTCCTGAGAGGAGTGACTGGAATTTGGGCTCAGGGGTCCCAGATTCTTGTGGTTTGGTCGCTTCCATTCTCCGCGCAGGGAGCGTTAGCTCTGCGGCTCTGACATGCGGGTGCCTCGGGTCTGGTGCACATGTGCCAGGGTGCCAGGGGTTGAGAAAAAGGTGGTCACAGAGCTGCTCCTCATTCCTTCCCAGGCCTCTGGGGAGCTTGCTGCCTGCTTCTCTGCCATGCCCTCTCTGTGGGCACCCATCATCTCTGCTCTTGGCCTGGGATCTCCCATGCAAGGTGCCCGTGTGATTGTGTGCTTCTGACTCATCTTCAATCTGCAGCTCGCTAAAGATGAGCAACACAGGGTGCCCTGAAGACCTCCCTTGGGTTGGTAGGAAGCCCCAGCATTCCCTTCTTCCCCATTCTCTTCCCAGCTATGTAAATTTGATTTTGAACTTTTTATTTGAGGAGATGAAGTAAAAACAAATCTATTTGTTTATCTATTAAAAAAAAAAAAAAAAGAAGAAGTAACTAGGGCCTGCCTACCCCTGAGCCTTGCCGAGGGCTTAGCATAGTGAGCTCATGATGAGTTAGCTCATAGTGAGGACTGTGCTGTTGGCCAGCCTCGGGGGCCTTGATGAATGTGCATTCTGTCCCCAGGGCCTGTCGGAAAGAGTTGTGGCCACACAGGCTGGAAACCCTCTGCCCCTCTGTCCGAGTGGCTTCGGGCAGGGCTCTCCCAAAGGGACCTCTGACCCTTCCATACATCCTCCATGCCAGGAGCATGGTCATGCCTATAATCCCAGCACTCTGGGGCTGAGGCAGGAGGACTAATGCAAGTTCAAGGCCAACCTAGGCTACCTAGTGAGTCCAAGGCCAGCCCAGGAGACCCTGTCTCCAAAACAACGAAAGTGCTACCTAGAGGCTGAGTTTGCTGAGGATCCTCCTTGGTGCTGTGGTTGGGCAGGAGAAGCCAAGGGCAGAAGCTGTGTGTACTCCACCATCCAGAGCGGCTCCATTGCTAACTTAACTTCTACACAGTGAGCTTTCACATGAGATTCTTGTTTAGTTGTGGTTTTAAAGCTTTACTGAGGTAGCTGGGGCACGGTCCCAGGACTGCATGGAGCTGAGGCAGAAACATCACAAATTTGAGCCCAGTCTGGTCAACTTAGTAACTTAGGGAGACCCTGTTCTCAAATTTTTCAGAATAAAAAATTTAAAAGGGCTGGAATCGTAGCAGAGTACAAAGGTTCTGCGCTCAATCCTAGTACAAAATGAAGCAAAGACGGAGAGAGGGTAGGGGTGCAGCTCAATGCTACAGCACTTGTCTAGCGCACTCCTAGCCCGGTGTTAGAGCCCCAGCAAGACAGAAACAACAAACAATCAAATAAATAAATGAAAGCAAACCTCTCAGTAGCCACCATCAGGCTTTCCCTCACATCCTACTGGGCAGAGTTGCTAAACCTGGTGGCCAAGCTATAGCTTATGTGTGTGTGTGTGTGTGTGTTCTGTTAATGGACAAGTTGTTTTTTCTAAATTTAAACCTCAGTATTCAGGTGTAACTGCACTGTTGACACTTTGCGATAAGCAAGTGGGTTCTGACAGACACTTGAGCTCTGAAAGGTTCGCCATCACTGACATCGGCTCCCCCTCCTGGAGGTGAAGAGCTCCTGAAGGCCAGGGGTGCACCACAGGAGGACCAACCCCGGCCAGGTTTTTCTCCTCAGAAAGAAAAGGTGAGCATGAGAGGGGAAGACACTTGCTCAAGGCCCTGCAGCTGGTGAGCAGCTGAGCTGAACTCTCAGACAGGCACATGCCTTTGCCCGGCCTCTTCTCCCTGACATCTCCATTATCCTCACTCTGTGGAGAGGAAAAGTGAGGCTCCTACTTTGGCCCCCGGAAGCCTGCTTAGCCAGGACCCCTGCTCCCCCAGAGTCTGTGTGGAATAACAGTATTAATCTTCCTAGGTTGACAGCTCCATGTGCCAGCTGCCCACTGTCACCGGTGAGGTAAGGTGCTCCTGTTAAATCCCATTTTATCAAAAGACACATGGAAGTCAGACAGAATAAGCAGCCTGCCTGGGGTCCTGCTGTTGGAGTGGCGGAGTGGTGCTGGTATTTGAACCCTGCCTGGTATCCCAGGGCTAGACCCTGCCTAGGGGTCAGCAGGGAGCCCAGGCCAGTTGAGTCAGGGGCAGGGAGGCAGCCCCCAGGCCAAGCAGGAAGAGTGAGCAGTAACAGGAGGAGGCCAGGTGGCCCCGAATGGGGCCGGGACCAGGCCAGCTGGCAGACCAGCCCAGCATGCAACCTGAGCCAGGAGCCATTGCCACCCACCCACCTCGCTTCTCAGGTTCCAGGTCTCCTGCCCAGGCCCCTACAGATCGAGAAGTCCAGCTCCACATTGGACAGACAATGAGTGCTCACAGGACAGCTCAGCAAAACGGTGCTTCTTTCACCCAGAGGCACCTTCATGAAGTGTTGGTCCAAGGCCCCATTTTTCACACAGGAAAACTGAGACCAGCTACGCATGCAGGATTTTGTTTGGCTCTGTCTGTTTTATTTCCTGCTTCATCCCATTGCTCACAACAATGCTTGGCACATACTAGATACTCAATAAACACTGGTAGATGACTGACTCACTGAGTTTGGTTTTTAGCCTTGCACAGCAGGCAAAGCCTCATGTGACACAAAGCCTGCTCCAGAACAGAGCTTGTTCTCCAGCGGCTTAGGGTAACAGAGAGAGCAGCCATCAGAGAAAAGCAGGCTGTGCCCTCACACAGGAATCAGTGTCTTATAGGCAGACATGTGCCCATGGGGGAACACACACACACACACACACACACACACACACACACACACGGCCTCACTTTAGTTACATGGAGCCAGCTCAGGCATAATGCACCGAAGAGGAGGCAAGATCACTGCAACCCGAGGGAAGGAAACTCAGAAGCCCAGAAAATAAAAAATGACATTGCTTGGCATCGTTGCTATCCCTCCGGGGCTGCTCGCCAACTCTGTATTGTTTTGTTGTTTGTTGTTTTCTGAGGTAGGGTCTCACTATGTAGCCCAGGCTGGCCTCGAATTTGCAGTGATCCTCCCGCCTCAGCCTCCAGAATGCTGGCATTCCGGCCGCGCACCACCAACCCTGGCTGCCCACTCACTTTGTTCCTCCTTCACTCAGCTTTTTTGGGGCTCCTGGCTGTGTCAGGAAGGCCAGCTTTATGGGTGCTTCCGGGTCAGACACCCAGTGGAAGAGAACTGATGGCTGGGAGTTGCTATGGTCCAGGGCCGCCGCCCAATACCCAGCCTCTGAGAGCAGGTGGGGTGGGTCCAGAGCGTGGGAGGAGCGCGGGCAGCTACTCCCGTCCCTGCCCCCGCCCCATATTCCCAGACAAGGAGCGCTGAGTCTCTGCCAGGGTTGAGTGCCTACAACCTGTGCAAGCACAACACCACCCATTGTCCCTCATTACTCATTGTTTTAGGACCCTTATGTCATCTTCTTCTGAACCAGCTCATTTGCTCATGTCTGTGACTGCAGCGGTTACTCAAGTTTCAGTCTGTGCTACCCAACTGCTTCCTCCCAACGCTTCTTGCGCTGCTATCAAGTATTTTCATACACTGTAAATCCAAACCCCTAAAAAAGAGGACCTAATTGGTTCCCCCATGCACCAACTTGTTACGATTGCCCCTATTGGCCACAGCATTCACATCAACCTCTTCATTGGTTGACCACTAACCTATAGAATGGCTTCCTGGAGTTCATGTCCATCCTTGCCATGCCCATCCTTGGGTAGCAGTGGTTGGGGCCTTTTTTTTAAACTTTGGTTTTTGCAAATGTTTTCTTTGCTTACCCTGCTTTTTCTGTGGTCTGGGCCCATTCCCACTGCTCTGGTCTCTTCATTCTTTGTTCGTTGTCTACTGATGATTAATGCTTCTCCTTCCTTCAATTTCTTTAGTGGTTTTTTTTTTTTTTTTTCCAGCTAATAACTGATTTTGGATGCACTTCTGCTAATTTCAAGTGATGGCCACCCATATCTCCTCAGGCAAATGTCCTCCTCCTTTGCGCATCTGTTTCACTGTAAATATATCAGGGCTATTAATTTCCACCTCACCGGGTTATAAAGGAGTCAGTTATATATGGGCTCCTGCCCCAGAGCAAGCACTAAACATCAGTGTCTGTGCCTCTGTGGCTTCAGCCCTTACCTAAAGCTATCAAAAGGCTAGAGGGAGAGTTACAGCGAGAGAGAAGAGGCTTGAGTCTCAGGCTCGGCTGGGCATGTAATTTGCTGTGTAACCTTAAGCAAGTCTCTTCCCTTCTCCTGAACTGTTTTGTTTTGTTTTGGTCTTTTTGAGACAGGGTAGTTCACTTTGTAGCCCAGGCTGGTCTCAAACTTGCAAGGATCCTCCTGCCTCAGCCTCCCAAGTGCTGGGATTATAGAAGTGCACCACCACGCCTGGTTTCCAGAACTGTTTTTCCCATCTGCTGCATGAGGATTGGAGTAGAGGAACATTTCCCAAACTGAAAAATGGAGAGAATGTGAAAGAAGAAGATGGGTGAGGGCGAATATTTAGCTGAATATTTTGCAAAAAGTCACATAGCACCTCTTCAATATTAAAGACTCTAAGATTGTGTTGTTCAGTAGCCTTCAGCCACATAAGATATTTATTTACAAAAAAAGATATTTACTTGCCTTTTAAGACAGGGGTCTCGGGGGCTGGAGGTTTAGCTCAGCGGCATAAGCACCTGCCTTGGAAGCAGGCAGTCGTGAGTTCGATCCCCGGTACCGATAAAAACGAAAAAGCCAAAAAAAAAAAAAAAAAAAAAAAGACAGGGGTCTCAAGTTGTCCTTGAATTTGTGATCGTCCTGCCTCAGCCTCTCATGTGCTGCGATCAGAGGCATGTATCACCATACCTGGCTTATCTGTGATTACTTAAGTTAAAATTAATAAAATTCAATTCCTTTCCCAGGATTCAGGAGGCTGAAGCAGGAGGATTGCTCAGAGTTCAAGGTGGACTGCATAGCAAAAGCCTGACTTAAAAAGACAGGAGAAAAAAAATTTTTTCCATTTTTTCATTTCTGTTTCTTCATTTCATTAGTCATACCTCCAGTGCTCAGTGGACACGTGGTACCAGTGGTTGCAGTGTTATTTAGAGCTGACCAGAATGTTCCCCTTATCACAGAGAGCCCTATTTGGTAGTGCCACAGTCCAAGAAGACCTTTTTGACTTTTGTTCCAGCATTTCCCTAACTCCGCTGATCCACATTAGCTCTCTTCAACATCTCTGACGAGCATAAGGAATATTCTGTTCCCAGGAACAGAAGCTCCTGGAGAACAGAGAGGGGACTCTTTCCAGCAGTGGGATTTCTCCAGGGGAGGGAGCTGCCTATGTTCAGGTCGGGGCTTTTGGCTAAAGGGACCTTATAAGAGACCTTTGTGTGGCTGGTATGGAAGAGGACAGAGAGCTTAAACTGTATGTGGTCATAAGCAAATGGAGCTTTAAAAGGAAGGGGAGGTAAAAGATGAGAGTGGGTCGCAGGTGGGAGAGGGGCTGGCCATCTGGTGGGACCATGAGCCTGGGGCAGAGACATTACCAGGGCGGGATGGCTGAAGGTTCCTGAGAACCGGGGCTCCGATGTCTTATTGGGGTGTGTGTGTGTGTGTGTGTGTGTGTGTGTGTGTGTGTGTGTTATTTCTGGTACAGGGAATTGAACCCAGAGCCTTCAGACTGAGCTATATCCTAGCCCTTTTTTTCTTTTTTATTCTGAGACAGAGTCTTGCTAAGTTGCTAATTTCCCAGCTGAGGCTCAAACTTGCTATCCTCCTGACTCAGCCTTCCACAGTGCAAGATTACAGGCGTGTGCCACCATGCTTGGCTTGATGTCCATTTTTAATTCATACATGCACTAGAGCACAACTCCCTCTCCACTGCCCACAGACCAGTAGATGCCTAACCAGTCTTGACCCAGACCTTCAGGAAAGTGGGGAAAAAAGAACTCTAGCCCACCAGTGGGGGTAGAAAGGGCCTTCAAGGGGGTTGAAAACTGAAGACCAAACATTCACTCCAAGCAGGTTATATGAAAGGAAGAGAAGTAATGGTTGACTGAGAGAAACAGGCTCTCAGTCTCAAAGTGCCCAGGGAAATTGGGAGGTGTGACATCCCTTGAGAGGCTGAGGCAGGAGGATCGCTGAGCATTCACGCCAGCCTGAGCTGCGTAGTGAGCTCAAGGACAGACTGAGCTACACAGATAGCGAGACTCTGTCTCAAAAAAACCAAAGAAGGGAAACAGGCTTGGCATGGTGACTGCCTGTAATCCCAGCACTCGGGAGGCTGATGCAGGAGGATTGCTGTGAGTTGTGTTCAATGCCAGCCTAAACTACATAAGGAGACCCTGTCTCAAAACAAACAAACAACAACAAACAGAAAATAGGCCCTGTGAGTGCTTGACTAGTGGGATATGGTGGAAATGACCCAACTCTTATGAATCTGTCGGTTTCTACTTCCTATTCCTCGGGACACTTGTTTTTGGAATCCAGCTACAATATGGCATCCAGGACACATGAAGCAGCCACAGACATGTGTTCTGACCAACTGTGCCAGCTAAGTTTCCAGCAGACAACCAGTGTCAGTGTCAGACCTGAGTCAGGAAGCCTCTAGATAGTGCCAGTTCCCTCTACCACCCGCCCGCAACCACCTACACCACCAGCCTTGAGCGGACCGCCAGCTGAGCCTCTGCCTTCAGACAACCTGGACAGCCAGGAGGATCGTGAGTTCCACGGTCTGGATTTAAGCCACCACAATAGTTAAAGAACAAACCATGGAGGTTTGTTCCAGGGAGAGGAGAGCCAGTAATTCGTGAAATCTCAAAACATGAGGGATCAGCAAGCTAGAGCACTGGGAAAGCAAAGGAGGCCAACATCTGAATGACCTTGAGGTCCAATAAGGTTTCTGTTGTGACTTTGAAGAGTTGGACCAGCTGTAACACCATGACTAGATCAAAGACGTGGATCCAGGGGCTGGAGGTTTAGCTCAGCGGCATTAAGCGCCTGCCTTCCAAGCATAAAAAGGAAAAAGACAAAAAAAAAAGAGACGTGGATCCAGGAGGAGGGTTTAGAAATTCCTAGCAATTGTGCTCAGTGGCAGCTTGAACTGACCCCCCCCCCGGGGGGGGCAGGTTTGGGAAGAGGGTGTGACACTGATTGGGACCTGCAGTTCCATTTGCTAAATGTCCCTGTAAATACCAGAGCCTGCCGATAGAGTAATAAAAGAGGGAAATTCTTGCTGGGAGCTTCAGCCCTCGTCCCTATAGCCAGAGTTTGAGGAATCTGAACCCCGAACTTCATCCTCTCACACCCTCTACTTCTTACGAGCTGTAGGCAGGTGATTCACCCTCGCCCTGCCTCAGTTCCCTTATCGGTAACACTGGGGTGATAATATATCAGCACTTGCATTTTGTGAAGATTCAAGAGGCAGATGCGGTAGGGAACACATGTAATCCCAGCTGCTCGGGAGGCTGAGTCAAGTTTGAGGCCCGCCTGGGCAACTTAGCAAGACTCTGTCTCAAACTAAACAGTGAAAAGTAGCTCAGTGATAAAATGTCCCTCAGTTTGATTCCCCCTATTGAAAAAATAAAAATAGAGATTAAGAAAGCATATGTAGGGGCTGGGGATTTAGCTCAGCGGCATAAGTGCCTGCCTTGCAAGCAGGCAGTCGTGAGTTCGATTCCCAGTACCGATAAAAAGGAAAAAGACCAAAAAAAAAAAAAAGAAAGCATATGTGGAAAACTCTTAGACCAGGGCTTGGCATGTTAAGGCCTATTACATGCTAGGTATTAATATTAAGCAAATTACTTTTTGAGACAGAGTACTACTGGGTAGTTTAGGGTGGCCTTGAACTCACTGTGTACTATGTAGCCCAGACCTGGCCTCAAACGCATGGCAATCCTCCTGCCTCAGCCTCCTGAGTACTGGGATTATAGGTGTGTGACACCATGTCCAGTTAATATTCAGCAGATTACTTTTGAGCACCTGCTATGTGCTGGACCCCACACTACCAGTGAGAAGAAGACACAGGCCCTGCCCCGTGAAGGTAGCCTTACTCGGTTCCTGTGCCTTGGGTTTCCTCAGGCTTTCTTTAGATGTATTGCTCCATTGGAGAGACCCTATGAGGTTGGTGTGAGAGTGGCCTTAGCCCCATTTAGCAGGTGTGGAAACTGAGGCCCAAAGAGGAAAGCTGATGTCCTCTTTGCAGTGTCTTAGTGGCTGTCACCTATCTGTGTGCCCCTTCTACAAGGGTACCGAGGCATACGTGGCCAGAGCCTCTGTGTCTCCTGTGGGCCAGCTGTGCCACCGCTATCTGAACCCTCCAGAAAACAAACTCTGGGAAGTGAGGCTCGGGGACCCCCACAGACCTGTGAGGACACAGCAGAGGTTCTGGAGGTGTGAGGTCGGGGTGCCAGCCCCAGGCTGCTCCATCCCCACGGATGGCCTGGAATAGTGGGTGTTTTTCCACATGATGTGGCCACACAGCACCCCACCCAAGGTCATCTTCATGGACGCCTGGGATTCCACATTCATGATTCATTCTTTCGGGTTGAGCAATGGCTCCGGGGAATGTCCTTCACAATTCACCTTCACGAGCGGAGGACGGGTCTCTCTCCTACCACAGTTGGAGAAACTCTGGCCTGGAAGGGGATGTGGCTCGCCTGAGCACACACAGCCCCTCAGTGGCGAAACGAGGGTGGGTGCTAGCACAGCTTGTGCTGCTCCTCTGAGACGGGGACAGCGGCACGCCACACCCCCATGTGTCTTGGGCCCCTTTGCAGCTCACACAGCTCGCTCCATCCAGGCTGGCTCTGCAGGCAGGAGTCTCAGCCATGGGCGTGGGCTTGGGCTGCGGGGCCTGTCGTTTTTCCTCTGGAAACAGCCTTCTTCATTCCTTAGAGAACTAGGCAAAGGTGCCATTCCCTGAGCCCTGTGGCTGGGTCCCAGAGCAGGATTTCTAGCCTCCTTCATAACCTAGCATAGCTCCTCTGTGCATTCTATGGGCAGTTCCAGATCTTTCCAGTGCATTCTATCATGTCTAAACCAAAGTAGGTTTCTCCTGCTTGCTTTAAAGAATTCTACTTATCTGCACATGCTTGTTATCTCAGCACTCTGGGAAGCTGAGACAGGACGATCACAAATTCAATCCCAGCCTTGGCAGTTTAGTGACTTAGTGAGACCCTGTCTCGAAAAAAACAAAAAAGGGCTGGGAGATGTTGCTCAGTGTGAAGAACCTGGGTTCAATCACCAGTACTAAAAAACAAACAACCTCATTGAACAGAACTGTTTGCAGTCTCACTGTTTGAGTGTCCACTTTATATGCTTTAATTTTGTAACAACTATTTCTAAGATGACAATATGTAATCTACTAACTAGTGATTTCCTTCTGTTTCTTTTTTTTTTGAAATTCTGTATAACTTGTACCCTTTTTTGTCTTTTTCTCCTTAAATAAAATTTAAAAAAATAAATTAAAAATAAAAACAACCTTGAATGAAATATATACTTTAAAACAGACATGATGGGGGCTGGAGATTTAGCTCAGCAGCATAAGTGCCTGCCTTGCAAGCGTAGAGTTATGAGTTCGATCCCTGGTACCAATAAAAAAAAAAAAAGCCAGACATGATAGTATGCACATGTATCTCAGTACTCAGGAGGCTGAGGCAGGAGGATTGCTGTGAGTTTGAAGCCAGCCTGGGCTACATAGTAAGACCTTGTCTAAGAAAAAAAGAAAGCTGGGTGTGGTGGCTCACGCCTGTAATGCCAACACTTGGGAGGCTGAGGCCGGAGGATTATTGTGAGTTTGAGACCAGCCTGGGCTATAAAGTGAGCTTAAGGCCTGTCTGAACTACATAGAGAGACCCTGTCTCAAAAAGACAAAAAC